GGGGAACACAAAGTTAGCTTAGACATCATATTTGTAGACTCCTAATTATATTCGAATCTTTATGAACAACTCGACCTCCAAAGGCTTTGTCATTAAATCTTCCAGTTGATCCTTGGACTCACAAAACTCTAGCTTTATTGTTCCAGGTTGAACCAATTTTCTGAGAAAATGAAACCTGACGTCTATATGTCTGTTTCTTCCACGCATCACTGGATTCTTTCAAAGTTTTATGGTTGAACTTTGTCAAAATACAAAAAAATATCCCTTCTTGATGATCACATACCAATTTTTCTGTCACTCGCCTTAAACAAGTTGTCTGACTTGCACAATCTTCTACTACAACGAACTCAACCTCTGTTGTGGAAAGTGTAACAATTGGCTATTTTTTAGACAACCAAGATATTGCACCTTCACCCATCATAAACACATAGTCAGACATGCTTCTCTTATCGTTTATTATCGAGCATAATCATTATCAGTGAAACCATATTGTCTTCCTTTTCTTGCATAGTCCAAAGTCTCTTTTAGATACCTTAATTTTTTTAGTAGCATGTAAATGTATTTCCGTCATTTTACTCATGTATCAACTCACGAGACAAACACTATACATCATGTCCGGGTTGATTGTTGTAAGATACATATGACTTCTTATAATTTTCTTATAGTTGGATTCACAAACAACAACTCTTTGTTCATCCTTGTTCATAATTGTTTCACGAACAATGGGTTTTCTAACCACTTGACATTCATTCCATCATGCCAAAACGTTTACGCACCTCAATCGCATATCGTTTATGGCTGATAAAGTTTCCTCGTGGGCCTGTGAAACTCCAATGCCAAGGAAGTACTTCCTTGATCCTAAATTAGTCATATTGAAAGTTCTCATCATAGAAGCTTTAAGTTCTTTCACCATCTCATCATTGTGCCATGTATATATAAGATCATCAACATGAATACTAAAAATAAGTAGATTGATTGACTTGTTCATCTTGGTAAATGAAGTTTGCTTATTTAGACATCTTAAGAAGCCTTCTGCTGTGAATATCCTTTTATGTCACTGAACTAAGCACACAATGCCTCTTTTAGTCCATACTCCATAATGTAAAACCATGACATTTGGTCCTAAAACAGTTAAAAAATAGTCTAAATCGTCCCCTATTTATTAAAAACATCCCTTAATTTCAAATCGATATACACTAAAAAAACAAAATAGTGGTCAAATACGAAGTCTAGATCGCCCTCGGAGGAAAATCCGGTGAGGTGGGGGGTGATCTCATATATCGAGGCAAATAGTGTTTGGTTTCCTAAAATAGATACATATGGGCCCCACAAAGTAATTTTATATTATTATTTTTTGTGTACTTTTTGTTCTCTTTGGTCAACATACATGAGGATCACCCCCCATGGTGAAACCATGTCCCTCGGTGGAGATCCATGTGGTTAGTTTTGGCAAATCCCTTAAAAATGACTATGTTGTTAAAACATCAGATATATTCTCGTCCTTTTCGTGAAAATCCATTTTGAAAGGGCACGGGGTGGTTGGGATTTCACATCATTTCGTAGGATTTCTATATAATAATGTTTTAAAATATACTTAAAACACTTGTCTTCTAATAATTCATTAATAAAAAAGTAATTTAATTAATTTTATAATTATTGATAATTTATATTTATAAAATATGTAATTCCGTTCCAATTCAAATTCATCAAACCAAACACATTGAAGATTTCAAATGGGGAGTGCTAATGGCACCCCCAATAGGGGGTGTTGAATGCCTCGGAAATTGTAATTGATATAAATCCTCAAATGTCAATGTCAAATAATAATAATAATTATGTTTTATTATTAAATATATACATAGACACACACACACACATATATATATATATATATATATTCATTTATAATTTTAAGTTATATTATATAACTATTATATTATATTATATGTTATATTTTGCTGTATTATTTATTCATTTTATTCTTTATCTCAGTCGATATTATATTATGACTTTATGTGATTTTGAGAAAGCGATAATGTTTTTTTTAATAAAAATATATTGATATTCGTATCAAATTAACTATTTAAAATTCCTATTTTTTGTGTAATTTTTTAATTCAATTTTTTATTATAATTTAATTTAGGTATAATAATGAAGTAATTTATATT